CGGCATCAGTTGTTGAACGACCCCTTGTAAATCCGAACTGTTTCGCATGTAATAATTTATTTCTATTAAAAAATCTTTGCATTTGATCTAAAATAATTTTTTCAAAAATTTTACTGAACGTAGGTAGCACTGAAATAGGTCTAAAGTTAGTGGGGTCAGAAGTACTACCTGATTTAAATAATGGAATTATTTTACTACATTTCATAAGATCAGGAAACACACCACAGTCAATACAGTTATTAAAGATTTGAGCTAATACAGGTGCTACAATAGTTATTACAGAGCTTGTAATATACACAGAATTGCCCCATAGATCTGCAGTCTTTTTGTTATTCAAAGTATTAAAGATTTTAACAATTTCCTTGTTATCTATGTGCTCGAAGGAAAACCCTGAATCGCAAGCTACAACATGTTTTTTGAGTAAAGACTCTGCAACAGTGGGAGATGAATTCAGTGACTTAGTAGTGGATACAGGAATGTCGGAAAAGAAATTTTCAAAAGCAGTTGCAATTTCTACATCCGCTTTTATTAACTTATTATCAATTACAAGACTATGTTGATTTATTCTCTTTTTAGACCTTCCTGCCTCACTGTTGATAATATTCCAAGTGTCTTTGATAACATTGGTACTGTTCTTTATCTTAGAGCTTAAGAATAATGATTTAGCAATAGAGCAAACCTTTTTGAATAATTTAGAATAGTTTTTTACATATTCACTGAATTCAACAGTGTTAATATATGTCCGCTCATTATAAAGCTCATAGAGGCGCTTTCTACTCTTATAGATACCAGTGGTTGCCCAATCACCGAAAGACGCATTGCTATTAGCTGGTATAGTTTTATCTGAAAAAGTAGACTTAAACTCTGTTAGGTACATTTTAAAAAACTTATCATATAAAGTGCTAGAATTCTTATAATTCAACAACAAAGGCAATTTGTTGCTGAGTTTAGCTTTGAAAAATTCAATGCGTCTTTTAGTCTTCGGATTAACTGTGATAAATTGTTTTGATACTATATTTATTTCTTTTGTTAAAGAAATTAACTGACCACAGTGATCGGAATCAAGTACTGAAATTATTTCTTTGTTAACTGGCACAATGTCAGTATAAATATTGTCCAGGCAAGTGGCACTAGTGGGTGTTATCCTAGTTGGCTCCAGAAACAAATTCGCAAGGTTGTATGAAGAAAATAAACTTACAATTTTTGTGCTTAAACTACATTTTTCTAATAAATTTATATTAAAATCACCACATGTAATGATGGATTTCTTTGAATTTGTAAGTTTACTTAGAACTTCATCCATTACTGTTTCAAAACAGTCATACAAACCAGAAGGTGGTCTATACACGCTTAATACAATAAACCGCTCCAATTCCACACAGGCTATTTCAACAGTACGCTCAACAGAGTAACTAACTATATCTTTACGATCTTTGAATTTGAGCTGGTTACTTATCAGTATAAGTGACCCACCATGTATAGCGTTTTCTCTGCTGAATGAGCTACCAATCTGGTGCTTACCAAAATTGAACATGAGCTGATGGGGTTTTAGCCAATGTTCAGTAATACACAAAATATCCACATTATTACAATTTAAAAATAACTCTATTTCCAATTCTTTACTCATAAAGCCTTGAATGTTTTGGTGAACCAGATTAATAACCTTATTACTGTTTAATTTGCAAGAGTTTGTCTCTATTGTCTTATTTAATAATTTAAATTATTATGAATGTCAGTATTAGGTGACTCATTATGAATGTCAATATTTTTTGGTTGCTCAATAGGAGTAACCTGTTTAGCCAAGTTATTGGCTGATATATTAAAAAAATATGATAGCGACATTGCTATTTGTCTTAAATAATATTTTGAAAGATAGTACCTATCTTTTGTCCTATATATATTAAGACCAACATAATTGTTGGTGTCTATGAAGTGAATATTAGTATTAATACTTAAGTTATACAATGTAGTATTAATTTTATATCTACTATTGTTTTCTTCCTGTGGCAATGATTTTATATAAGGCAATGCAAATATAATTATCTGCTTTAAATTCAGTTTGGCAAGTGAATTATGGAAATTGATTAAACTTTTTTTATTAAGACTACCTCTGTTACCACACATTATAATGAGGGTAGAATCTGGATTAAATCTATATTTATTAATTTTATCCAAAATATTACCAAAACTACAGCCGGGCATACAGTGATTAAATGTAGACTGTCCAGGTAATTCATTTGTCAACATTGAACCTAAGTTCTTTCCAATCTCATCACTGAAAATGACAATATTATGATTACTAGGATTACAATTATTAAACAGTAAACCTCTACCATGAGGTAAGGTGGTCTCACATGCTGGCACAGAAAGAGCAGGCAGTATAGCATCAGGAGTGCACTTCTCACACTGTTTCTCCTGCGAGCTTACCAACTCATTCATTGCCAACATGTATTCCCTCATCTGCCTTTCTGAAGCACTATATTTATTAGACATTATTTCTAACTTTGATGTTAATTGTTCTAGTTCTGACTGCAGGCTCTGGGTATCAGTTTCATATTTCCTAGCACTTTGATTTAATTTTGATGAGTATAAACTAAGTTGTTTCAGAAGCTGGAAACGTTCTCTATTTAATTTTACATTTTTTATGAAGAACTTTTGTCTCTTTACTAATCTGTTTGTTTTAGTTATAAATTTACTGATTCTTATGTATTTCTTAAGCTTCTTATGACTAGAACTAACAAATCGTCATCATAATCGCTTTCCGCTTATAAATTACAACAACAAAAATTATTGAACCCTACCAATGAAAATGATCCTTGTTAATTGAACGATTTACGACTGAACGAAACGTTTTTCGTCAAAGTGTTAACATTTCACAGTTCACTTTTCATTCAATTTTTACCTTGGATGGCTATGTAAACTTTATAATTATGTTGTCATCATCATCATCAGCCTATAAGTGCCCACTGCTGAGCAAAGGCCTCTTCTCATACGGAGAAGGTTAGAGCATTAATCACCAAGCTTGCTCAATGCGGGTTCGCGATTTTAAACTTAAAATTAGAAATTATAAGTCTATGTTTAATCACGATGTTTACCTTCACAGTATGTCAGAGGTGTCTAATTAATCATAGAAAGTACATATAACTCGGAAAAAGTCACTTTGGCACTTGCCAGATTTATAATTATGTACCTTATTTATATGGCGTTATGTATGTTATTCATGTAAGCCTCCACTTCTCGTAATTTCCTATATAGCTGCATCCGACCTGCCACGTACATTTCTAAACTCGCTAAAGGATGACTGGTAGAATATGATTCAAACATTAGTCCGAATTACGTGCGCAAGCGCTACAATGAACTACGGTCCCGAATCGTCAGTATGAGTCTGATATTCCATCTGACCCAACAAGGGCAAGTCAAGTAATATAATGATTTTGGTACCTTAACAAAAAAGTATTATAATTGATAAATTGACTAAACTTAAGACGGCTAAACAGCCGTCACAGTGGAGAGTCCAAGTATAAATTATATTTTATCAATATCATAATTATCATTATTAGCCTATAAGTGCCCACTGCTGAGCAAAGGCCTCTTCTCACAAGGAGAAGGTTTGAACATTAATCACCACGCTTGCTCAAGGCAGATTGGCGATTTCAAATTTATAATTAGAAATTATAATATTTCTCAATGGATGAATATTCATTAAACATTATTTTACCAAGCCTACATCAAAATAAGGCTGGTCATTTGAACCGCACGTTCAACGCTAATAAATGTATCATTTTGGTCTCATTAACCCGCTGATTGCAGCCGTGCCTCGCATACTGTGAACGGTTAACTTTTGGTTCGAAATAAACATTTAATTACATTTATAATAAAGTGCTATCTTGTTTTAATATGTAGGAAATGTAGCAAGTGGTACGTTGATTTTTCATGTTTCGTTTTTCATTCGAATAATGTTTTTTTTTAATTTAAAAATCGGTTTTAACCGTGTAATAAAATATTCTAGGTCAACAATTCAAAGTTGAAATGAAATCACTAATTTCTATTAGACCATTTTAGGCACTTTTGATCGAAACAACCGAGGATTAAAGATAAAAGGTGAGAAATTTATTCCAAAGTGTAGACTCCTATGGAAAAGAAACAATTCTCAATAAATATTTGTATATTTCTTATTTTTTTTATATATATAAAAAATTATGATGCGTCATGTGCGATATTCTTGAGTAAGTAATAATATAATAACACCTACCTCATCATCATCATCATCAACAGCCTATAAATGCCCACTGATGAGCAAAGGCCTCTTCTCATACGGAGAAGGTTAGAGCATTAATCACCACGCTTGCTCAATGCGGGTTGGCGATTTCAAACTTATAATTAGAAATTATAAGTCCAGGTTTCCTCACGATGTTTACCTTCACCGTATGTCAGTGGTGTCTAAATAATCATACAAAGTAACTCGGAAAAAGTCACATTGGTTCTTGCCAGGTTACGAACCCGCACCCTCATGCATGAGAAGCGGGCGCCGGCCACCACGACATTTTATTCACACAACACCTACCTACCTACTTACAAAAATTAATCAAAAACTGATGAACTAAAAAAAACTTTCTTCAAATAAATATAAAATTAGGTATTCTAAAAAATTATAATTAAATAAAACAACTAATAAAACATTTCAAACAGCATCCAACTTTAAATCCAACATCGCGATACCAAAAACTAATTTAAACGAAATATCACGTCAACGTTCATGTTATCCATGGAACATCACTAATTAACGTGTTCGTTACAATCAGACTTGTCCTGACATGTATTTCGTTTGCTGCAGGCTAATTTGAAACGACATTGGGAACAAACAGGCGCCCATTAGTGTATATGTTGAAACAAAACAGTTCTTCTCTAGTTAATTACAATTCAAAATCATTTGATCAGAGTAGAGTACATAAACCTTCCCTACTCATCTTCCAGTAGTTTGTTTTTGTGGTAAGTCACCAATGGAGCCGAATGATAAGCTGATGGTAAGCAATTGGCGCCACTGATGAACAGTATACACAATACAAAAATGTATTACGCCAGAGTTTCGTGAGGCCGTACATCAGTCGTGCCAATTCGTGTTGGTTCGACTGGATTGATATAACGGCCTGATAGAAAACCGGCGTGAAGCTACACTTACGTTGTGTTTTGCCGTGTGAGTGAAGTTACCAGAGGCCCAATCCTCCCCCCCTCCCCCAACCTCAATTCGGAAATAACCTATCCTTAATCCCTAACCACGGTTGGCCACGCACTTGTTAACTCCTTTGATACTATGAGTGGTCATGGGCGGCGCTGATTGCCTACCATCAGCTCCGTACTCGTTTACGAACCAGTGACATAAAAAAGCACGACTCTTTTACATGAAAGAAAAATATTAATGAACAAAACCTTCGTGTTTATTTTAATGGAAAAGAAGGAAATAATATTTTCGGAAGAATTTTCATAGAACTCATAATTGCTATCGACACCAATCCAACGTCCGATATTACGATATTCTCAAAGAGAACACTTCAAAGGAATTTTATGTAATCAAACTAGCATTAAAATAAAAGACGTCTGTTGTGCATTTATTACGATTATTATTTTATTACGTAATTTATCTGTATAAGATATAAAATATATGTTTCATTATAAAATAAACTGTTCGGTCGATTTGTTTGTAGGTCAAGTTAAAACAGCCGGCCAGCTGGCTTGTCAATTCCCAAACGGTTTACATATAAGTGGTTTCGTTTATTTTTCTCCCAGTTCTGAATTTTAAGATCGATAATTTAAACTTTTATGTAACGTTTGCTATTAGGATTATTTTGCCTCTTGGGTTGAACTGTGCTATGTAAGTGAGTTTACTGTTAAGGACATTCCTTCACCCCCATCCCCATTTCCCTAACACTAATCAACGCAACCTCAAAGCCATTAAAAGATCCGTAGCGCTTTTGTAACTACTTTGGTATGATGTTGACTACGTTTATGTTGATATTATTATGAACACCCATGAAAACCCATGGGCGGTATTTTCCGATCTCAACAAACTTTGAGAGTCCTCTGCTAGACTTTCTCATCCTGCTAGGTCTCTTCTAGTAAAAGTTGTCAATTGCCGCATGGCGGGAGCGGTTTCAAGGTCACCATTTAAAACAAAGCGGTGCTGTCCGATCTCTATTAAATGTGTAGTCACTTATCATACGACGCTAATGTAAAAAGGAGGGATCCACAAATATGTATTTATATGTTCTTTGCCATCCATGTAGCACTTACCTTCGCTTGCCTCTAAATGCAGTCCTTTGTGGTCTTATTCGAGTTGACCACAGCGCATTGTGCAAAGTGTCCTTGCGGCTGTTTTCCACACGAAGCTAATCAGACGCAGAGCGGTTGTGGCTTATCTAATTCTGGTTTGGTCTGACAAACGGGTTGCTATATGCACTTGGTTTGGTCAAAAGAGAGCCATTTCTGTGTCGATTGAATTGCGTAACGTTTTTAACTTAAACTGAATTGACTGCCTTTTAAGCTTAGCTAGAAAATAATGGCTTATTCACGTGGAATAAACGAAAAATGTTAATAAACTTATAAGTCACAACGGACCTCTTAAAGTCAGTGCACAAAGATAAAGAATATGCGTATGGATTTATTTTCGCGCCGCGTCCGACGAAGTTGCTGAAGTTGAAATCAAAGATTATTTTGGACGATTTAATCAACCTTGCAGGTACTTTCATAAGACTCAATGTGTTATATATTTTTTTTATATATAATAATAGATCGGCAAACGAGCAGACGGATTACCTGATGGTAAGCAATCAGCGCCGCCCCTGGACACCCGCACCCTCAAGGAGGAGTTACGAGTGCGTTGCCGACCTTTTAGGGATAAGAAATTTGGAGATTTAGGGATTAAGGAGGGATTGACGGTGGAGAAGCATTGGGCCTCCGGTAACCTCACTCACACGGCGAAAAACAACGTTGTTTTTTGTTTTACACCGGTTTTCTGTGAGGCCGTGGTATCACTCCGGTCTAACCAACCCATTCCTGCCGAAGCATGGCTGTCCCACAGAAATACTGTTTGAGTGTGAGTTTTGTGAGACTGGTTCTTATTCTTAAGCAGCTAAACTGGAACTATATTGATTATGCCCAACCACATAAGAATCATATAATAGTTAATAATTATGAAGGTCATCCTTACTGAAACCGACGAAGAGTACTATATATACATAGTTATATGTATATTGGCCCAAAACGTAACTTATCAAATCAGGTGATACGTCGAATATACCTACATCTGCCTTCATCTGCGGGCATCAAAATAAATGACGTAATTTATGAATTAAAGAAGCGAATCTCACTATAGAAAAGAAACCGTGTTGACGTCAACAACATCGCTTTTGGAATTATTGTACTAAGCGGATGTTCAAAGTGGAAAGTTTTCCTATCACATCCTTTAAAACCAAATCTGTCAAATTTAGTGTGATGCCTAAAATATATATCCAAATATAACATCTGAACACAGGGTGTCCAATCATATCGTTGGATCGCGGTCAGCGGCGTGACCGGGCGCAAACCGGCCGTAATCCCCGATAATGGAATGGTGATCCAATGTTTATGTACCCGGGTATACCCGGCGATATCCCGTTGTTTGTTTCAATCGTGAAATGGTCAAGTAGAATTCCACTTGGCATTTTGTCCGTTTTCTCTGAATATATAATTAAAAATATGCAACTTCATGTTACGTAAGTATCTACCTATTTACCTACTTATATAATTTAAGACTGAGATTTTTATCCTGATAAACTATATTATGCTTTCAAAAAAAATATTTTACTTTCTTTTATTATACTTTTGAAAGTATAGTACTTATAGTTTATAATCAGACAAACTTCACACAATTCCTGTAAAAATTGACATTGCTGAAATTGACTACGAAAATCCAAAGGTGGTGTTTCCAACTAAACCATAAATAGATACTTTTGAAACGTCAAAATAGAATAGTAGTCGGTCAGTCTGTTCGTCAGTGAAGCTAACTGTAGATTCGAATGGAGAAGAACGAGTAAGAAACTTCACAAATACCAAAAACCTAGCTTATATAAAACAATCCTATGTCAATTAGGTTAAAACTTATTAGTACTAAAACAATTGTTGTTCGGTATAAACCCGAATACCTGCTTACGAAGCAGTTTTAATGTGCATCAAACATACGCGACATCAGTGTATTTGTCAATCGCGAACAGAACGGGTGCATTCATCAAATAACATAAACATTAACATTTCTAACATTTTTAACATTAAATATTAAGATTAAGTTAATGCTCTGAACTCTCTATAAACAATAAACTTTTACGGTCACGAATGCGTTTGATATCTACCTTCCACCTTACACCCCGTACAGTGTATAAAGTGTAATCTACGTTTTTCAATTTTTTTTTTAATGATAACAGAAATGTCAAATGTATAAAAGTATTAGAAAAGAATCTATTACACTCAAAGACAGATAAAACAACAAAACTCGATCACATGACAAAAATATCATCATCACCAATATAGAGTTGGGTTGGCAAACGAGCAACTGGTTTACTTGATGGTATACCGTCTATAGGCACCCGGCACACCCAATGAGTAATAAGAGCGTTGTAAACCTACAAAAGGCCAACAACGCACTTATTACTCCTGAAATCCCTTACAACCGTAAGAGATTTCAGGATTGTATGGGGATTGGGCTTCCGTAATATCAAAAGTTTTAGATATTAAAAAATGTACCTACCTAGTATAGTACATTTAATATAATGAAATACACATTTTTCAAACCTTCATCAATCTTCATTATCTTAAAAACAAGGTCGGTAATATCGTTCCCTATCTAGGCAAATACGGCAAAGTTAAAAATTATTTTCAGAAAATCGTTGAGATTAAAATTGTATTTTTTATTACGGTGTGTTAACATACGTAAAAACCTAATTATTTAAGTTCTAATTTGGTTTTTATTTGACAAAAATGCGTGCATAAGAGGACGTATCTACCATATAAAAAAAAAATTTAATTTTTTTAATGTTATTGCTATTACGGTTCATAAGAAAAAGCCTGGTGAGAGACAGACTAACAGACATAGGTAGGCAGACAATCAGACAAAGATAAACGCACGAACAGATGAGACGAGACATCAAGGTGATTTTTCAGACACTCCCTTTCATTTAATCCAAGCTGGAGGGTTCCAAAACGATTTTCCGCCTTGTGGTCGAACTCCACAGTAGGCGCATTTCGATTCCCGCAAAAAACTATTCTTTGAGTGATCCAAAAAAAGTCCTCATCATCATAATCAGCCTATTATCATCCACTGCTGGACATAGGCCTCCCCAATTGCACGCCACTGAGCTCGATGTTCAGCTCTCTTCATCCAAACACTGCCAACCACCCTGCGTATGTCGATGTCGAAAATCCGCATATTTAAATAAAAATATACACTAATATTAATAAATATAAAAATATAAAATGTATAATGTATAAAACCGCATAATAATATGTAGAATATAAACCTTCCATCCTAAACATTCACTTCCAAAGTAAATCTGTACAAATGAGATCCCGCAGGAGATTGATTCATCCGATTTAAACATCACACACAGGATGATCTAAAAGAAATAGCTTCGGCTCTTGGCAATGCGGTCAAAGATCGTGCGTGAATAATAAACGACCCTGTATACGGGTGGAATAATAACGAGACGCGATATATGGATGAATGTGTATAATTTTCAGTGTTGAGGATTCTGCCTATGGGTCTAACCGGTGGTATACAGGAAGAATTTAAGACACCTTTTATCAACTATGTACTATTAATTAAATGACAAACTACTACTTGTATTAATGATATGATTGATACTGTTGTTCTACCTATGTTAATTTAATTAGTTCTAGTTTTAATTTCTATATATTTTGACTGTATTAACGCATAATTTTTAGAATGTTGGTTAGCTCGTAACTGGCTTATGTATATGACCAATACTTTAAACCACTTGTAACAGCTGTGAGTGTACCTTATAATAAATAAATTAATTAATTAATGTTACTTTTTTCGAGTTATATAAACTTTCTATGATTATGTAGACAATACGGTGAAGGAAAACATCGTGAGGAAACCTGAACTTACGAGTATAATTTCTAATTAGTTTGAAACCGCCAATCCACATTGAGCAAGCCTGGTGATTAACGCTCGAACCTTCTCCGTGTGATAAGAGGCCTTTGCTCTGCAGTAGGCTGATGATGTGTGTGTGATGTTATCTACGTATTAATGATAGCAACATATTCAATGCGATGGCAAATTCATATTTCCATATTAATCTTGAGAAACCTATTTCTTTCAATTTCCCGTTGGCCTAAGACATTTCCTGGCCTTTCCTGTTTAAATTTTTTTAGGGACATGATAATAATTGTGGTAGAACAAGATTTTTTTTTAAAACGAAAATATCTTTACTTCATTGCTTGGAAATTGAACTTTAGCTCCCGTGCTTGGGAGTTGCATTTGCAATTACTCGATCAACAAGATAATTTTAATCAATAACACAAAGAAACGGGACGACATACCAAACACGTATCGGATCTATCATTACTCTTAGAACCAAATAATTCCAAATCATTCCAATTTCCTTTCCACCCAATCAGTGGAATTGGTTTTCCTTTATTTATTTTAATTGCCTCACTGATTGCTGATCTTGGATTAAAAGGAGAATTATTGTAGGAATACCAGCTGTTTAAGATTCTGAGCGAGAACTGAGAATCGATTAAGGGTAACGTAAATGTAACAAGTTTTCAGCAATGCGACAGTTTTACTGTTATTCTTTGCGCTTATGTGGTTTGCGAAAGGAAATGATATTCGATATGTGTTATAAAGAGCGTCATATGAATGCTTTTTAACTTAACTATACTAACTTAGTAGTTTAATGTTTGTTTGTTTTTCTCTATCGTTGTTCTGTGTTCATGATGCTGAATAAGTGAACGACTAAGCAGTTCATTTGAGTAAGCAATTGACGCCGCCCATAGACAGTCAAAACATCGATGTAGATGCAAGTCCAGTGCAGGCCATGACGTGGAAACAGAGGAAATGGGAAGACGATTCCTTCTTCTGCAAAGCAGCCATGCTCGCAAAGGAAGAAGCGAAATGTGTGAAAAAACTATCCTTCTCCGCTGGAGTTACTCCAGACATGTAACAATATATCTAAACGATATTTTCAATAAACTTAGAATTGATGTTGAATAGACTATGGTATATTGTAAAGCCACAGGTAAACTCAACCTAATAGACAACTTGTGAATAGAACCAATTTTCAAAGGTTTACATAATTTATGTATCATATTTACCTTCTCGAGTGAAGATAATGTTATGCTAGTTTATCCAGACGAAACAAAGCCTTATTTACATAATTATTGCCAACAACGTCGTCTTTACTGGATCACTGAACTTGTAAAGCGAATACCTACTAACATGACGAAGGTTAAAGCATCAGCTGTTTTGAAGATAAACTATGTAGTTTTTTAAGAGTAGTAAAGTTTTTTTAGCACTTATATTCAGTCAACGTAAAATATCAAAGAAATCTCTACCTATTAGTTATACTCATGAGTTTGAAATTGACAACTAGCCTTGAGTAAGTTTGATGATTAATACTCAAATCTTCTCCATATGAGAAAAGGCCCTTACTCGGTAGTGCGCTAAGCTAATTATGTTGTTTGGAAAGAATTTTGCCAATTTTTTCCTTTTGTGAAATGATTAACAAACACATTGAACTCATTACACATTGCGATTGCAGCGTTTATACAAAGTTTGGCTTTGTATTATTCAAGCTCATGCTAAAAGACAGTAGCTATGAGATTTCCTTCAGCAAATACATTGAGGAAGAAATCAACATCATCATTTTCATCATTACTTTGTAAACTACCTGATTACTTATCCACAGTGGCTATCAACCACTACATGTACATCATTGTAATCATTAGATAATATTATTGGACAGGATATAAATTAAATTCAGTGTAATTAACAGTATAATTGAAAATCGTACTTAATCCACCTACACCCATGTAAGGATTATTATTAATCACCTCATTCGGCAGTAGGATGTTCGTCAGAGAGTTATGGGATAGCAAATGTTTTATTCATAGATTCATTGTGAATATTATCAATGTCATCATCATAATCGTCATTCAAGATACAACGTGTCTTAGCTGCCTTCTCTAATGATTTTTCGATTGTCAGAATTCAATCCTACTAAAATTTTAAACGCGTACCTAATATTTGTATGCATGGATTTTAGTTTCTCTTTCACGTAAGAATGACAGAATGCATTTAAATGAAATTTCTCACAGATATAGTTTATAAAATGACCCATGAGGTATTTTTTCCAGGGTACACATACGAAGCATGGCAAAAGTTAATTTGTTAATGTGATTATTAGCAGTTTATAAGCTGTAATGAGTCAGATGCAAGCTGGCTTTAATTTCCCAGAATGTGTTAAAAAGTCATTAAAATTAAACAACCCTTAAGGAAGTCGTCACGCCACCAGGAACAGTAATTAAAGTTACAATAGATATTCAACTTATATTGCAATTAATTAAAACTAAGGCAGACTTTATAATTTGTTGATCAAACTTATTTGGTCATGTTAAAGTTTGCGTTTATTGCTTTTTTAATGGCTGGAACTTAATTTACGTTTTATAGTCTAATTTGAGTTATGTTCCACTTAATAATTGAGTTTTCTCCAGCCTGGTTTGGCTCGTGTTAAAAACTTGCTAAGGGTTGGCTCGCAATTATATTTTTGGTGAATTTTGGTGCAATAGTTATAAAACTTTGGAAGTGTTTGTAGGTGAAGGTTACGTCTGCTTCAAGAAATAAGAATAGGCTTCAGTTCATAATCAGGTTAAGATTTTGATGATTCAGATTTTATAACTTCTAGCGATAAATCAGTAGTGTAGCGACTGTTGCTACATTCGTCTATTTCTTTTATATTCTTCCAGCGCTTTCTCCGTCAGTACCAAAGCATACATTGTATACAGTAGCCTATGCTTTATTCGAGATCCAGATTTCTCTGCCGAGTCTCGCTCAGAACCTTTCAGTAAATATTACGTAGAAAAGTAACAAACATCCATCATTACAAAAAAATATTTTAAAACTATATGACACGTTTTTGGCCATTAAAAAATAAGGGTTGATCGTAGAAGGGTGAAAATTGAGGATTGTACCTATGTATTTTTGTATGTTGTAGGTATCATAAAAAAAAATTCTAAAAACAAAAAAGAATAGGGTTGCACTACCCCTAACATTTAGGGGGATGAAAAATAGATGTTGGTCGATTCTCATAGATACCGAATAAGCACAAAAAATTTCATCAAAATCGGTCAAGCCGTTTCGGAGGAGTATGGCAACGAAAACTGTGACACAAGAATCTTATACATTAGATTGAGAGTTCAATCTTATATTATGTTTTGGAATCCAAACTTAACACACGTCATTGTACGGCTATTTTTCAACTTTATCCTAACTGTTATATTGACTTAACAAGTAGTGGATGTTAAGATAAAAGATTCAACACGAAGTTAATATCTTTGCTGCAATTCGTTATTACGCCTGCGCGCACTTAGCAAAGCAATTAGCATTCAGATAGTGTTAATTGCACCTCCGACTTCAGTTCTTCAGTTAGAAATCTTTATCTTCGCTTTTAAAAGAGGTTTTGTGAGAAACTCCTATGCTTTGCACTTTATAGGTCTCATTGGACCAGTGAATGAAATTAAAAATTCCGCTACGTCACAAATTGTGAAGTAGAATTCATAAAAATTTAGGGGATATTTAAAATGGTTCGTTGGTAAATCGGTGCTCACAAAATGACAGCCAAAACTTAATGGGGATTTTTGATTTAATTTTAGATACAGACAAAGAATTATTTCTTTCTGTTGTAGATTTTCCCCACTGGTATTTCCATCATGCCCATCACTTCTAACGTACGATGTGTAGCGGTACACGCACCTCAAAGATCTAATAGACCACTAAAGATGGGTCCCGACACAGCTAAAAAAAGTTCAGCCAAGGTTGCGAGGCAAACGCAATAAGATGGAGCAGGAGAAGTAACGTGGTGGTTCTTAGTATGTAAGATTTCGACACTTCTCACTCACCCTGGCCGAGTGAAGTAATTTCATGATTAAGAAAAAAAAAAAACAACACCGATATCATAATTTTCTTTTTGGTTCACACAAAAGAGTGTTTTGTGCCGGAATTAGACTCGCAATTCTTACTTAGTACAGTGGCTAACCACAGCGCCAAAGTGCAGTGTCCTTGGATTCAAGATTGTGAAATGGTACTGGTTAATGGTTCTAAATAAACTCGCCCTGACACAGAGGATGAATCCTATCGAGAGAAATACGCGCATTTTACACAACATAGAAAGAACGCGTTTTTTTCTTTGTTAACTCACAATAGCTACCTTGTTCGCCAAATATACCCAAGATATCAATCTACATAAATCAGAACCCGCTTACCTCAGAGCCTCTTATTACAAATATTATAATGTTGAAAAATCGGGGTGAAACCTAGTGATTGGAAAACCGGACCCTTTTTTAACGAAGTGAAATTTGAGACCACAATTTGGGCTTAGTTGACAATGAACTGAAATACGCTACGGTTGGCTTATTTCAAACGTAATTTAGTTTAATATTTCGTTCGTTAGAATTTTTGTTTGTCGTGATTAGTTTCGAAAAGTTTTCGGAATAAATTGTTTCATTATTACTTGGCTTTTTTGTATAGTTATTGCCTAACTGCAATGTTTCGGGAACTTTAAGTATTGTTTCTTCTGTTCTGTGGTTTCTTTCACAAAACTTATCATTGAATTTACTTACGAGTACGTCTGATATTGATCGGTCTTCATATTTGCACGTAAGGCCGTATGTGTCAAGACAGACCAAACCCAGAAGGCGCTTTATAACATGGTCAGATACTTAGAGAATGTGCCTATTCGTGAATGTGAAAATCTTTGTAATACTAAAACTTCTAAAAATGATCGTCACCAAATCTGACTGTGAACACAAGCCCCCAGGAATGATATTACATATGTATTTAAGAAATGAACTTTAATTTCTTTTTCTCTTTGTCACCAGAATACCTTGGCAATCCTTGACAAATTGGACATTGATAGTGAAAAACCTTCAGAAGAGGAGATCGCAAGGCTCTTCGGCTATGAAGAGGCATACCTATCAGGGGAGTTGGGCATCTGGCAGAGAATCAAACCTAAAGTGTGGGCATTGTTTGACGAGCCATCCAGTTCACCAGCTGCCAAGGTATGGAGTTCAAGTCCTATTATTTATTTATTTATATTAAAATTCAGGTATTTATGTAATAGAAAAAAGTAGGTTTCTAAAAGTTGGTAAGTAAACTCTAATATCTCTTATGTTTGACTATCGGTAGGATGTAGACCAAAATTGGTGTCGTCATTGTCGTCATCAACATCTGTATTTTTAGTAGAATTGGTAGCTACTGTGTTTTGACAGAGTTTAATTCAGAGTTAGTGTCAATTTTTTATTCGCGTTTATGACTAGTTTTACAATGTCTTAACAGCCGCTATGCAACATATTGAATATGAAACGTGTTTCTGTAAAATATAAAATAAATATTTTTGAAATTTAAATAATACAGGCGCTAAGCTAAGTTTGGTTACGTTTTTTTTTGTTGCGTTTGTTATATAAATAGTTTTATTTTATTTTCAACTGTGTGTAGACTAAATATAAGTAAAACAACCATAATATATGATACCTCATTATTCCTTATAAAGCTCCGATTACCACACGAACAATTAAATACCGTAATAGGCTATTATCTCTTAAACTAGCAGTAACATAAAACAGCGCCATCTAGTAATTAGTTCCGGTAACTAGTCTTGAAAATGCTTTTACCACAAATTGCTAGTTATAAAACCCGTAATACCCATTAGGGTTTAAATGAAAGCCGCGCGTGGAATAAAATTGTCCTATTATAAGTCATTTAGGAATACCGAGGGATACAAAGCTTGCAAAAAATGTTCATTTTCATTATTTCAATTGCTAGAATGTTCGACGAAAACGGACAAGGAATGACAAAAGAATGCAGATTAGTGAAATAGATTTTGATTTAACGAAACGATTTTATGATGTTGAAAGAATGTATGCATAAGTGCACATTATCACCTAGTCCAATACTTCATGTCTGAGAGAGGGAATATTGACCAAACCTATAGACTACCATAAGTGATTGCTCTCTTTTAAAGTTTAGTGTAGTACATTGAACATCCAAAACAATGCTTTAATTGTTCCCGGGGCTGCGGACGGCGAGTAAGGGTAGCTTGCCGCCCGACCAGCACCGGGCGCACCGCGCGTAGCGTTCCGCGCGCAGCTCGAAGTGCCAATCAGACCACCACAGATGTGCCTTAGAGAGCCGATGTACAGTTGGGGTTGCGGGGCTAGCTCAATAAGTTACCTCTGTCTCGGACTAGAGCGACAACAGGAACAGGTTTTTTTTTTACTCAGCAAGAGTCTGACACTCCCTCTCGTTTTAGGTCAGTTGGTAGGTTTCGGGAGAGAAAAGTCATTGGATGATTTGCTTCTAACAAACAAAAACAAAAAAAGCACTACATTTTTGAGCAGTTTAATAACAAATATGCCTTTATTATGTTTCAAATCTTTGCTTCTTACGGGAAAACTCGAATGTTCTTTCCCTGACTGACTTCCCTCCCTCTCAAATCCACTTAGAGGAAATCGAATGTGGTAGCTCCATGTTTATGTATTTTCAAATACTTAAAGTAAGTGCTTCAATTGTCTTTGGTTTTAGTTCGGAAGGGTACAGAGTGGTCTTGTTTAGTCATCATTCGGATAAAGATTATATTATGGACTTAAATGGTTTTTCGCCTATTGTAGAACTTATATAGTTAAAAAATAAAGGTAGATATTTGAATAACTCTTTGTTTTTTAGATTGCCTTGGTTTTCGACAGGTTTTAGGATTAACTCATTTTTAAGGTGTTGAGTGGCAAACTAGCAAACTCATCACCTGTGATAAGCAATTGGTGTTGCCCATGGGTACCTGCAACACAGGTGGAGTCGCCTGAGTACTGCCATCCTTTTGAGAGAGAAGACTTGAAGGGTCGGAAGCGTTGGGGTATTGTGGTCGTAAGATAAAAACAGGATCGGGCCGCCAGAACCTTACTCACGTGGTGAAATAACAGCGTTAGCGTTGTTTCACGCCGGTTTTGACTGCAGTGGAGCCGGCCCATTCGTCCCGAAACATGGCTCAAACAACTACACTTAAAAAACTACTGGTAAATCTAAAAAGTAATCGATTTAACAAAACGTAGTGTTTCTTCGTGTGAGTTACGCTACTGAGGGCCCAGAGCGTTCCCTTCTCAGTCCTCCACAATCCCTAAATCTCCGGAATCCTCATCCCTATAAGGCTGGAAATGCACTCATAAATCCTAAGGGTGTCCATGGGCGGCGCCGATTGCTTACCATCAGGTAATCCAGAAGCTCGTTTGCCGATAAAAGAAAATATCAGGAGGCATCTTAATACAGAACTTCAGAAGACATCTTAACACGCTATCTCATCAGATTTTAAAAGTTTAAAAGCAAATTGAGCGAGAAAGTGTCGAGGGTACTCCTAAACGTTCCAATAATTCAAGGACTTTTTCAACTCTGACTTTGATAAGGAAAGGTGAGGAGTTTTAAAGAGACGGCCTGCTTTTATCCGGGTTTTATTTTTATTAGTACGTACCTGTTTTGTTGTGGTATAAGCAGGATCTACGTAGACTGTAGTTTTGTTGTTGTACGGTTTTGGTCTTTTATTGTTGGTGGGCATTTTTTTACTGCAAATCTGGCTGCGTTGTGAAGATGGCAATTAGTTATTGGATTCAATCGCTGATTTGGATAAATGGATACCTTTTTTTGTTTTTTGTTTACTTTTAATAGGAGTAATGTAGGCTGTAGTTTTCGTGTTGTATATTTTTGACTTGTCCAAGTAGAAATTAAATTTAAATTCTAAATGCAATTTAACCCAAATTGGAACGGATATACTATATATAGGTATAACGGATATACACGAATAACTTGGAGTAAAGACACAACTATCTTTATTGTATGATAATTTTTTTGTTGACTTAAAATATAATATTACAACCGGAAAGTGAATTTCGATAGCATCGTAGCACAAACTTATTGCATGTAGAAAATAATAAAATGAAAATATTGGAACTTTTAAGATGCAAATTGAAAATCATTACTAAGTTAGGTACGTAAAGAAAATTGAAAAATAATTGCTTTATTCTTTATTACTAAGAGGCCATGAACTCGATTCTGTTGTAAAATAAATCGATATCCAATAAATTGTATTATGAACTCGGGATATTGCTTAATAACTAAGAAAGTTCTAACAAAGAGCAAATTAATATTCAAAATTTTCAATTTTATGCTTCATTTCATTTTAAATTAAGACCACGGCGTGTTGTGTCTAAAAAGGACGGTGTAAAATGGACAGAATGGGGGCTTTTAGACTGTTTTTTTTGTATTAAACTTTGATATTTATGTATTTTACCTTTTAAGATATTACCTTTTAATTTTATTTTTTAAGATATAAAATCTTAAAAAGGAACACTATTTGAAAATCATGAGGATCAAAACAAAGCAACAATTTTAGATCACATCATGGTTTGTTCTATGCGCACGCCGTAAAACAGCTTATCCGGAAAAAGTGCAGTAAAAATAATATTAATTTATAGTGCATACAGGGATAATTGCCGGCTGATGTCTCATTTCACTTATATTAAAGTTGTTCAACGGGCCTCTGCGAGTTGGCTTCGGCCCCTCGTACGCCTTCCAAAGGTCCGGGATCCTGTGATCCCGTGAACGGAAACGAATATACATATTAATTTTGTGCTCTTGACAATTGAGTTCAACCAAACCAAAATAGTCATTTTTTATACTTTTAGACTTCAATAGTCATAATGTAATTGTAGTTGATTAGCGAATTTGAAAGCTAAATATTTATAAAAGTTAACTAAGGTTGCGCAATAATGTACCATGGCTTCGGCTTGGAGCAGAAGAAGGAACGCAGTTATTTTAAGTCAGTAAGAGTCTGATTCTCTCTCGCCCGAACCAAAGAATGACTCGACAAGAAACACCACCATGATAAATATTTTCCTTTCAAATAAACATTCAAAAAACACATACTTTAAAGTCATTGCAAATTTTAGCAACAATATTTTTATGACTGTTTGTCTTTTACATATGTGTTGGAGATCTAAACTTCTGCTCGAATGGGTCGGTTCGACCGGATTGAGTTTATGGCCTTATAGAAAACCACAACGATGTGTTTCGCCCTGTGAGTGAGGATACCGGAGGCCTGATCCTTGCCCAATCCCTAAATTTACGAAACTCTTATCACAAAAGGTGGCACAAAGCACTTATGACGATTCTAGTGTTGAGGGTGTCCATAAGGAGTTCTGATTTTAAGCATCAGGTAATGCACGTATCACATACAATAATATCATTACAAGCTATTGGTTTATTAAATAAACAAGCCGTTATGAATATTATCGTCTGTGTTTCAGTGTGTACGACTAACCAAGCTCCTCCATTTTACAATTAATTTATAGTGTTTTAAACAAGAAGATAATTTGTAGTCTGGCTAGCTTTTGATATGAAACCGATGCCACGTTCAGCTAATTGCTGTTATTCACAAACCCTATCAAAGTTTACTTAATTTATTTCTATTCAGAATAATGCCTTTGTTCGTTACCTATAGGGTTGCTAACTATTACGAATGTATTTTTGAATAAAATAATATTAATCTTTAGGACGCCCCAAACTTCTTTTTCTTCACTTCTGAAAGTATCCGATTTCAGATTGTGCTTTACATACTAGGGTAGATCTTCTTTTCAATTCTTCTGTTGTGTCATGGCGTCGATGTTTTATATGTGTTATAGAAATACAACACGAGATTACATAAACTATGTCTCTAACCATAATTGTATGAACCCCAATATACCAAATGTAATACAACACACATTGGCTCGTATGCTCTTAAAGTTAATCAAAATAAAGTTCAACCTAGACCGACTTATATGCTCTTAATTTTAATTAGTTTCTGATTCTAGCACATTATACAAAATGATGATTTGCAAAAGCTGCCTCCCTGTTACCACAATTTAAATAAAATTTAAACCAAATAGAGAAACTTTGGAAAATTTCCCAGACACATCAGAAAATTTTCTCATTTTTTAAATTTCATAGAAATGTACTTTTTCTTATAAAATGTAAGTAC